CCATCCCTGTCTCCCCCATCCCTGTCTCCCCCATCCCTGTCTCCCCCATCCCTGTCTCCCCCATCCCTGTCTCCCTCATCCCTGTCTCCCTCATCCCTGTCTCCCTCATCCCTGTCTCCCCCATCCCTGTCTCCCTCATCCCTGTCTCCCCCATCCCTGTCTCCCTCATCCTTGTCTCCCTCATCCCTGTCTCCCTCATCCCTGCCTCATCCCTGTCTCCCCATCCCTGTCTCCCCCATCCCTGTCTCCTCATCCCTGTCTCCTCATCCCTGTCTCCCCCATCCCTGTCTCCCTCATCCCTGTCTCCTCATCCCTGTCTCCCCCATCCCTGTCTCCCTCATCCCTGTCTCCCCATCCCCATCCCTGTCTCCCCATCCCTGTCTCCCTCATCCCTGTCTCCCCCATCCCTGTCTCCCTCATCCCTGTCTCCTCATCCCTGTCTCCCCCATCTCTGTCTCCCCCATCCCTGTCTCCCCATCCCTGTCTCCCTCATCCCTGCCGATCATAATGCAGTGCGGCTAGTGTGCATGCGTGTCGTATGTATGATGGGTCGCATATTCTATATCAGATCATCACAATACGCCAATATTCGCTTGTTTGCTCAACACGGGGCATCACCGATGACGCAGCGCGTTTTCAATCAGGGCGCTGCAACGCGAAAATAGACAGATAATTTGCAAAAGGACGACGCGAACAGATTGCAAATTGGATTGGGATTACCGTGGTTACGGCAGATGAGTTTTGGATGGAGGTTGCATTGATTGTGGCTCACGCGCGAGGTGGTGTGATGCTGTATCGCCTGTGTGGATAATATACCGCATATACATAGCAGAGAAGATCAGCGTTTGTCTGTGTGTCCGTCTCTCTGTCTTGCTCGCATATTCTCGTTTACTTGCACGCGCCCACATCTGCCTACACGCTCTCACTAGTTTAATCGCACGCACTTTTTCCGGCGCATACACACTCTTTCACTATTTTCCTATCCCTCACTCCCAGCCTTTGTCTTCTGTTCAGAGTTAGAGGAAGCTACCTCCGGGGCTTCAACCTTACCTTGTCATCACATGTATGCGTCACGCGTGCGAGCGTGCGCCTGCCTCCGACTGTAGTTCGTATGTTTGCATTGTTTTTGCATTGTTTGCATTGTATTTTTGCGTTGTTTGCACAAT